TCTCTTCATGTCTGACAACACCGATCAAAATCTCGCTTCGATGGTTCATCAAACAAAGTGCCGGCAAATTGGTTCCGGCCGTCAATTTAGAGCTGTTGGACAAAATTCCCGGACAATTGTCGGACAGAAGAACAATGTTAGGCGAACTGAACTGGATTTTCACTGCAATTACCGATACAATCGCGTGGAATACTTTACCCCGCGATCTGTTTCAACGCCTATTCAGACAAGACTTATTAGTTGCGAGTCTTTTCCGCAACTTCTTGTTGGCCGAGAGAATAATGCGAACGTATGACTGCACTCCCGTCTCATACCCGGCACTCCCGCCCGCATACCATCACCCGATGTGGAATGCGTGGGATTTGGCCGTAGATTTGTGTTTAGCACAACTCGACCCCATTGTCAATGAAAACGCTCAGTACAAACACAGCCAATTCTTCTCAGAACAATTGACTGCCTTTGAAGTGTGGCTCAAATTAGGCGCTCGACCCGACAGACACCCCGAACAGCTCCCAATCGTACTACAAGTGCTTCTCAGTCAAGTCCATAGGTCTCGGGCTCTGGATCTTTTGGGACGGTTCCTAGACTTGGGTCCCTGGGCTGTGCATCTGGTAATTATTACATTTTTTACCGGTTGTTTTGTATCTAAATTTCTATTCTTTTAGGCGCTTTCTGTTGGAATTTTTCCATATGTCTTAAAATTATTGCAAAGCTCTGCCCGAGAACTCAGACCTCTTTTAGTGTTTATTTGGGCGAAAGTATTGGCTGTCGATCAGTCATGTCAGGCAGACTTAGTCCGAGATAATAGTCATCGATATTTTCTGAGTGTACTCTCAGATCAACACATGCCCGAAGAGCACAGAACAATGGCTGCGTTTGTGATGGCCTGCATTGTTAAGAACCATTTGGCCGGACAGGTATTGTTCATACCATACATATTGTGATAATTGACATTATATTTGTTGTTGATAGGAAGCGGCACTTCAAGGAAACACACCATCGAATGGGAACTTAATCGATCACTGTTTGGAACAGTTGCAGTCCCAGTGTTCCGATGGCTACAGTGCACCCATCGGTTCCACGCCGTTATTGCGCCAATGGTTAGCCATATGTTTGGGCCATATATGGGAGAACAATGCGAACGCCCGTTGGATCGGCACTCGAAACACTGCTCACGAAAAACTATTTGTTCTGCTGGAAGACCCGGTGCCCGAAGTGAGGGCTGCGGCCGTCTATGCTTTGGGAACGTTTATTAATAGTGTAACCGAACGGACAGATCACGCAAACGCTTTGGACCAAAGCATTGCTATCACTTTAATTAATAAAGTGTTGAACGATAGCTCACCACTGGTTCGCAAAGAACTATTAGTAGCACTTCATTGGTTAGTCTTAA